TGTGTAGTTAGCTGACTTTGTCAACCGAATTGAAAGAAAACTACAGTTCTTTGGAAAATTCTAACCATTACGCTGTCAGTAGCTTTTTGTGTGCTTGTATTATGATGTATATTCTAGTTATTACTTGAAATATTATTTTTATTCGTCTGCCTTACGATTTTACAGCAAACAATCTGATCTACTTGTTTTTGTTTGTACAATAAGATACTTGTTATTGTACAAATTGCTGAATAATATTCCAAAACGTTTTTTTTTTATTATTATTGTCTGGCAATTCTTATTCATTTAGGACTGTCCCTCCTAGCAATGTTTTTTACGTTCCGATTTATGAGAAAGACATATTTACGGAAATAGAAATTTTCTTTGGTATGTAAACGGGAGAAAACAGATTTATCTCAGTTTTGTATTTTTTAAACAAACGTAGAGAGTTCTATCTTGTTAAAGAACGGATTATGCGTATAACTTCCTGAGGAACTGAATGTAATATCAGAGTGAGAGAAGAGAGATCACGCCTAATAATGAAAATATAGGTGTGTGTACATTTTTATTAAGTTATTGTGGTTGATACTGAAGATAAAGGGTTTGCGTATGTTATAAATGAAGATATTACATATGGTTTACTTATGTGGTGTTTAAAACATATTGTGGTACAATTTATGCTGTTAATATTCACAACAGGGTGTTTAGCATTATCTACAGAGATAGGAGTATATAAATCCAAGAATCATAATACTCTATATACTGAGATAATGCTCGTATTGTTATGTATAAAAAAATATCAATTTCCGTTATTTGACAAGACTTAAGTTCTTGGACTGTTTAAACACTTAAATTAATTTACTGTATGTAACCTCTTGGTTTAATTATTGGGGTGCATGAAACAAAGATTCCTTTACATTATTTGAATTTAACTGTTGGACTGTTTAAACTCTAAATCAACTTAATTTATGTAACCTGTTGGTTTAATTACTGGGATGTATGGATCAGATTCCTTTACATTATCTGACAAGATTTAACTGTTGGACTTTTTGAACTCCAAATCAACTTAATTTATATAACCTGCTGGTTTAATTACTGGGATGTATGAATCAGATTCCTTTACATTATTTGACAAGATTTAATTGTTAGAAACAATAAAGTCTAAATCACTTTATTTAACAATATGGTTTAATTATTAGGGTGGACGAAATACAGTATTTAATAGAATGGTTCAGTCGGTGGACTGTATAAAATACATGTACATTTACAATATTTAGCTAGATGATATTGTTAGAATGTACTAAATAATATCACATCAACGTTATTTAGTAAGATAATATGGTTTTCTAAGCATATTAAATGAACATCTAGTTAAGTTGCTCGGTAAAGTGCTATGACTGTTTGCGTGCGTAACATTATTTATATTTAGTGAAAAATTTAGTTTGACGACATTACAAAAATGGTGGCCGTTCTAGGAATAAGAAAACAAACCACGTGGCCCTAATCCTAACTGCTTATCAACGTCACTAGAGAAACATCAACTTATGGCATTTAGCCAAGAAACAGCTAGAGATAGACGATATAAGATATATTTTGGTGACGTGTCAGTAATCTGAAAAATTGTGGTTTTTACTACAGCTGCCCAGTTCACAGTAATAACTCCGCACATACGAGCTTGTTATTGGAACTCCTTGTGTGTGTGAGAGTAAAAGAAATCATCGAACAAAGGCGCATGAAGTGTTATTACGCTGACGATGTCTTAATGTTGAATTATTCATAGCAAATATGCGTTTAGGTTCATTTATGTTCTAAATAAAATCCAAATACAGCATTTTCTTTGTCATCAATTTGATAAAGCCAGTTTGTATTGTGTTTCTTACTGAATGATGTCTTTATTCATAATAGTTTATCGATTTGTAGGCGTAATACATTACAGAAGTAATTATGTCTCACCTGCATTAACAAATGATAGTAAAAAGCACCAAACAGGTTGTTAGAGCTTTATTTTTCTGTGACGTTCGTTTTATGTAAGAGATCGGCGTACGTGGTGAAAACGGAGCGGGCCAAAGTTCTCCATCACTTTCGTCAGTGTTGCCAAGACAACGGACGCTCTCACCTTGGCACGTAGCTTTCAGTGTTCTAGAGCCCTAGAGCTCCAGAGCGTGGACAGTAGGTTGCCAGTTATTTCGGGCTGACACTAAGTAGAGAATTCAGCAGAGTTTACAGGAAAAGCAACTTCAAAAGTGTTAATACAGACGCAAAGCCCCTTTTATCCGCAACATTTCCATAAGCTTGTGTTTTGTTAACCCGGAGATATTTAAAATGATAACAATAGAAAGTTACCCATGAGCTCCAATGGATTTTTTTACAGGCACTATTTTTAGCTCTCTGTTCCAATTAAACGCAAATATCTACATATCTGTCAAATTACCTGGCCATAACCTTCTGGCAAAAATTATGTCTAAATATTTACATGTTTACATCTGATAGTGCATGTCTGTCTTTATAGCTATACATATTCATTTTTTTCTTATCAATGTTTTTGATTTGTCTATCAGTGTCAGTCTAATTCTTTAGCCATATCTGTGAATTGACACCTATCTGCTTGTTTCAAACCAGTATCGTCTGCCTATCTACCTAATCACATATACTCTCTCAATAACCATCTTTGAACCTTTTTACTTAATTAATTCTGGAAAAAACACCATATGATAACTTCCAGAAATATAACTAGTAGTTTTTTTTCCCCTCTAAACATGTAATCATAAACACAAATTCAGAATTAAAAATTGCATAACCAAGAAATGCTACTGCAAAAGTTTCTTATCATTTTTGTCAGAATAAACTGAAGATTTATGAGAAAAATTCATATTAGTTTAAAGCATATTGTTTTAGTTTTCTTATGAGAATTTATGATTTTTCTCAAAGGTACAAAAGTCTAATAACTAACTGAAAGTGACAAATGAATTGATTTTTATAATTAAAAACCTTTTTTTATTGCAGGTAAATAAGTTGCATTTATAACATGAGTTGTAAAATGTATGTACACATATGACCATAGATTGATTATTCCTCAGAGTTTAACATAGATACATCAGTATTGACTTGTGCATAACTTGTTAAGTTTTACAAGGACACACCAGAAAGTCTGAGAGAAAACCTTGAAAACCTGAAATTATAATCTCAGCACATAAAAAAGTAGGGGAAAATCATAACAGACAAGTCACAAAACTTACATGTTTTTATAAGGTCCATTAGTAATAGTTGAATGTGACTTTAAAGGAGTAGGTTAAAGTATTCTTTCTTTTCTTTTGGACTTATTCTGTTTTTAAACTAATGTTCATCATCATGGAAGTAAAATTCATGAAATGTAAAGTTGTAGTTTTTGTTATTTTAAAAGATACAGTGCCTGTCTATGATTTGCCTTAAGTATTAGTTTAGTTATTGAAAGGTTAAGCTTGGCTGAATAGGCAATCGAGTGAGTATGGTTATCTTCTGCTTATAGAGGAGAATCATGACACTCAAAGAAATGGTTGCTCAGTGTATATGATAAGTAGTGATGAAATGGGTTGAGAGGTTTCTTACGTCATTCACAGATTTTGACTCCTTACAGGAAAGGCCACAAGATTGATTCTAGAATTTTTTTTCTTTTTTTTTTTAACTTGCCTAAACAGAAATATATCTTGTGTAATACTTTACTGCTTAGATGGATCATAAGAATATGTGTTTTATTGTCAGGGATTTCTTTTAATTTGTTTCCTTTTCTCATTTTGTGAAAAACTGACTGATTTATTTGAATCTTCAACACAAGAAGATGTAGTTGATAATTTTAAAATTAAAAGAAAAGCAGTTAATGAAACCATGTATTTGTGTCAGGTACTGTCAATACTTTGTTCTTTAAATATTATTATATAGTATTAAAGTTGTCTACTTTTCAGAAGTAACCAATGTTCCTACACTTCCCAACTAAATTGTACACTTAAAATTTCACAAAAACCCTGTAATGTTTTATTTGTTTAAAAATGCAATAGTCTTTTGAAGAAACACTGGTTTGTTAGCATTGCTATTATAAAAGTTGTCAAACATTGACAAGGTAGTGATTTAAAAATGAATTATTCTTTTTGCTCCTTTTATCAATATCAGTGATAGATGTATTAGAGTAAGATAAAACTAGAGTTATGTGAATTCTGTACACACTTATGAATACCAATACATTTGTATACACACAAAAAAAATATCTTAATCCACAAACAGGACACACAGATATTATTAAATGTAATATTGTTTTACATGTTTTTGTTTTACCTGCCATCAAATATAATCTATAAGCTAGATATTAATAGCTACTATATCACATAATACATATATATATATATATATACACACCTTGTTATAAGTTTTATCTATGTACCACCTACCATCAGTTATGTCACTGGAACTATCAGAGACAGATAAAACTAGCTTTATTAACACTTTGTGTATCTGGCTTATAGATATTGGAACCTTATGTACCACAAAGAGTTTAGATAAATATATGATGAGGAAAGATTATATATTTCTTGTGATATCTGTAGAAATTTTAAATGTAACAACTTTACATACCACTAGATATCTCAAAGCTAGGCATACCACTTGACCTACTTGAGATATCATCATCATGCAGTAATATCAATGAATATGTAATGTATAATTTATTTATTATATTCTGTAAATTAAAAACATAAAAATATTGATATGTCTTAAACTACGTATTTACACTGTATTTAATTTCAAGATTAGAAATCATATTACATGTAATAACATAGATGAAGCTACCTCAATATTACTTGTGAAGTTCTTTTAAGCTTCAAACAAGAAGATGAGAATGTTTTATAATTCTTAGAGAAACATTAAATGTTTATGGTCCAGTACATGATGTAGTTTTAACGGCATTAAATTCTGTAAATTATGATTTTGGTTAATTAATTACATAGATTTTTGGTTTCATGCTATATTATAAATTATGTAAATTATGTTTTCAGATCCTGGGAAAATAGCACTCGTGTGGATATGTCACACAATGAAGAAGCTCCAGCACCTAGAGACCCAGGTGTTTCCTTGACAACTCATCCTAGCTTCACAGATCAAGATTTTGAAGGTAACTATCTTGATGCTATTAGAGATTTCTCTGAACACTTCTTTCACAGTACTACAGTACTAGTTTTGTTGATAATTTGTTTCAAGACTACTGTCTTGGAGATGATTAAGAATTTTAGGTCAGGATAACTTCTAACACTTACTGACAACTTAACTACACAGTTAGTGCTGTAGGCAAGTTTTAAACATTGATGAGTCTGATTAATACCAAAGCTGACATAATGGTTTTCCTTCACAGTTTTTGAACTAGTAATAATATATTTGTGCCTACAACATCAAGTGTAAAGGTAACAAAAGATATTATTTAGAGGATGTACTAGGTGTAAGATGAACTTTTAGATACCATTGTTTAAAACTGTAGTTGAGGTGACTGACATGTAAATGTAATGTGTTAGATCCAATTTAGTTTATTGGAGTATTGATTAAGTGTATTACACATGAGTTCAATAATTAGAATGTGAATGTGAGTTGTTATTTATGAGTTAATTAGTTGAATTTAAATTCTTTTCTGCATAACTGAGCTAAGTTAGTGTAAATATGGATTTTGCTTGTTACATCTCATTTAGCTAGTTTGGTGTAAGATCTAAATTTTGATGTATCATTCAGATATTTGCGCTATGTGAGTTAGTTTGGAGTGTAAATCTTTTGTATTACAGAATATTTAACTAACAAGTTAAATGTTACATATTTTACACAAAATTTAGATGATTAGGATCTATTGTATTAAATATGGTTTAGCTCATTTACTCGGGTTTCATCTTATATGAATGTGTACCTCATTTGTTGCATATAGCATAAACTTTGGGTAAGTATCAATGTTGTAGTTGCAACCGAGTACATTTTTTTTGTATTATCACTTGTGTGTATCATCTTATAATTTTCAAACGAAACTGTTTTCTTAAGCATCATGGCACTAGTTTAGTATTTTTGAGTCCTATGTCCTTGACAGTTGTACCTTGGTGAGGATAAGAAGAACTTGAAATGTTTAATGGTAGCTATAAATCAGTTATTACAGGAAGAGTCATAAAGATAAAGAAAAAGAGGTAACAGACATAAGTAGAATGCTGTAAATTTGGAAATTATCAGAATGAATTATAGATACCTTTGTTGGAGTATAGTTAAAAATTGTTACTCAAGGTCTCATTTAAATTATGTAGATAAATGTAATGATTGTGATAATACACAACTAGCAAGGTGTGGTATGAAGTTACAGCTTATAAATTTGAACAATATACTCCAACAGTGATAAAAATAGAGATTAAAACTAAGGACAAGTCTCAGAAGCTTACATATGGATGATTTATATACATTATTTATGTATTGTAAGTCAAACATAACTTTCTTGGATATCTTGATTCTTGGCTAATTTTTGTGTTATACAAGTAGAGTATTGTATCTTTTTGGGGGGGGGGGTGTCTAATGTCTATTTTCAGATGATTGGTTGATATCATATATGTAATTTTAGTGAATAATAACTTTTCTTGAAAGATATGTGAAAGCCCATGTATGTGTGAGTTATTAAAATGGAATGTATAATTCATGTAATAAACAGCTCTTTCTAGTTTCAGTATTACTATTATGCCATAATGTGATCAGATACTTGCTAGGGCAACATAAATGATGAAATGTATAAATTGGTATTCACAATTTGAAAAATACATTAGCTTTCAAAATATTGTTTATTTTATACATTTAAGCAAACTGATAATATGTTTGATCAGAAATTAAAACAAGTAAACAATGTTTGGTGCATTTTAGTTAGAACATCTAAGTTTCACTTAAATGTTTTTGTGAATTTTTTTCTCATGATAAGCTTTAATGTAATAAAATGTAATGTGTGGAAGGAATAAAATTCTGTTGCTCATTTCAAGAAAAAAAAGTAAGATATTACCCATAGTTAGAGAAACATGAGGTAACTGTAAGATCTCTATATGATTAGTAAGGTAGAAAAAATTTAAAATCCTTAGAGATGAAATTAAATCACATTCAACTCTAGGAAGGAGCATAGAATTGAATCTACTAATTATAGAGAAATTTTTGTCGTAACATAAGTCTCAGCTAACCATAGAAAGGAAAATATATGATTAATCAAATTTACTTTTATGACAGAACATAGATTTTAATTTTAGTAAGGTGAAAATATTGTAAATAATAGTTAACTACAAGAAAACTTATCTATATTCTGTGTCCTACAGTTTATTTCACACAGTCTACATACCTTACATGTATAGCTAGTCTAGTTTATAGTAAAACCTTTTCACATAATGTGTCTTGTGTTCTCTTGCAGATCGCAAAACACAGATTTTGAGTTGTTCAAATTTTGATAAAAACATTATTTTTACTAAAAGGTAAATTGTTCTTTGTAAGCCTCTGTTAATTTTGTTATAATTTATAGTAGAATCTTATTCATGTTTTATGTCACACTTCTCCACATAGATCACAACATAAACACACTTAACGTGGTTAGTTCTTTGAAGAAAGCTTTTCGTTTTGTGTTACCACTTTTCTTTGCAAGACAGGATACATGCATTAATGTTGATCTGATTTGTAGAAGAAACTTATTTAAGGTGTATGTCACTTTCCTCTTTGCAGGCCGGGAACATTAAAGTTTATGTTGGTAAACTTTCTGTTATGAACTTTTTAGAATATTTGTCACATTTATCTTTACAGGCCACAGAGCACATACAGTTTATGTTGGCCTTCATGTCCCTGGCTACAGGAGGAGAGGCCACAGACGTCACCGTCACCACCATCATAAAAATGGACACAAGAAGAAAGAGGATGGAACTGCTGCTGACTATGAACATGGAATTAATCGTCCAGGTAACACTCTTCATGCAGCATACTCTATTTATTTTCATACAATATGAGGTACATCATAAGGTTTAAAGGTTTTGTATATTTTTCTAAGTTCCACTATTTTTTTCATGCAATGCTTTCATTGTTTTAAAGTATATACAGATAGAGTGAACCTAAAACCTGGAAGTTTTAATGATATATAAAAAAGAAACCTAAATTATTTGCATCAGTCTGTTAGAATTTTTGCTTAGTTTGAATTGATTATATTCTATTGTAGTTGAATAATAAACCTGTATTATTCTAAAACTATTGTCAAAGGCAGTATTTCATAAAAAAAAATACTTGAAGTCTTATATAAGATTTAATTTAAGTATTATTAACATCTTGTTATTTTGTTAAAGTATTCATATTTAAACACATCGTATTTATTGTGACAATTTATCATTAAAACTAATGGTTTCTATGCATTAAGGCAGTGTAGTTTCTAATTTACGGATTTCAGTCAATCATAACTATGAAATATACTTAGTACAATAGGAAAGAGAAGCTACTAAAAGTTCAGGAGTAAACCATGTGCACACTTCCTGTTGATTCTCATTCAGGAAGAGCTAAATTCTGTAATGTCTGATAAGGAACAACTTTTGACAATGATGTCATAAAGCAACAGTTTCGTAAGTATAGTGTTTTTATAACAGTTCGTTATTATAATTTTTACTAATTTCTGTGTTGTAGTCACCCCTCCTGCTGAACGTGTACACTTTATCTTGGGAGAGGGGGAGGATGATACCCATGAATCTCACCCCCTCTTCAGTGAAATGGAAGAGCTCCAAGGAGATGGAGATGATATGGAATGGAGAGAGACTGCAAGGTAAAATTGTGATACTTTCTTTTATTGCTTTTTTGCAAGTCATACAGTTATTGAACAATGTTGAATATAAAACACAAGACAGTTTTGTCCCTGTTCTTTCACAAAATACACTTTGGAGCAGAAATTTTTGCAAAAAAATCTGATTGTTTTTTTTATTATGACTATTATTTATTGGCTTAAGATAAAAGTGTTAACAAAGTTTCTAGAAAATGAGACTTTTTATCGTATAGATGGGTAAAATTTGAGGAAGATGTAGAAGAAGGTGGAAACAGATGGTCCAAGCCACATGTAGCTACCATCTCTCTCCACTCTCTCTTTGAGCTTCGCAGCTGTATATTGAATGGCACTGTTATGCTAGACATGGATGCTTCAAGCCTGGATCAAATCTCGGGTGAGTACATTTTTATGATTAAAATCACATATTTCAGTTTTTACAAGTTAAGAAAGTTGAATGATTTAAGAATGTGTTTGTGATTTATAAAGTTAAAATGCATTGTATGTATTATTTTACTAATGAATATGTGTTAAACAAATTTACTAATTTAAAAGCACTTAATATTTTTCAATATAAAAATATTCATACTGTATTGTATGGTTCAGCTTTAATTGGAACAGTTAAAGAAATGTTTGCCCCTAAAAAGCCCTTACAGGTCTTTTCCATATAGAACTTATTTGCTTGAGATTTGAATAAAATAGTTGTGATCACATATTCTAATATTACTAATATCTCATGTCTGAAGCAATAAGCATACCTCTGAAACCTAAATATGTTGAATAATGTTTTCATTCAGTGTTTAATTTACCAGTGACAAAATACAGTACCATGAATATTATACTGAAAACAGTATATTAGGTGTAATGAAAGATCACATTATAAACTTTTAAATTTTTTCCATTTATATTATGTTGTTTGTACTGTTTGTTTGTTTTGTTGTTAAATGTAAAGCTGTACAATAGGCAATCTTCACTGAGCCAGCAGAGCTTATTTGTGCTAAACATCATTCAAGCTTACATTTTATATAACAGTGTCTGAAATAGATTGTAAGGCAACACAGATAGCATGATAAGTAATAAAGTGTTTTCAAATGCCATCCCAACACTTTTCTAACTGGTAATCTTATTTATTCTGTTCTTTAAGAGGAATAATTTTAAAAAGTATCTAATCACCACTGATGTTTAATCATAATTTGTGCTATAACAGGTATAAGTCTTTAATTGGAAGCTTTTGAATTATACATACCCTATGATTGAAACATTAGTGATCTATACTGATATAAAATGTCTTTAAGAGACTAAACGAGTGTTTAACATTTGTTAAGAATTACATCTAAAAAGTCACTATGCTTGAATGAAAGCAGTCTTTAAATTAATTGAAACTATATCACTAATTTCTCTTTTGTATTTTTCTGCACACAAAGTCTTCAATTGGTATGCAAGATTTCTGAATAAAACATAGTTTTTTAAGTTTTGTATTAATTTTTCAGACCTTATGCTGGAAAGTATGGTTAATTCCAATCAACTCCAAGGTGATATGCGAGAGAAAGTGAAAGAGGCCCTTCTCCGTCGGCACCGGCATCAACATGAAAAGCGTCATGGTGGAGAGAAAGGCTCTCGTCTACCTTTAATACGATCTTTGGCCGAAATTGGACGAAACTCAAGCAAAAGCGTGTTTGGTTCTAATAGTGAGTGTTTTCTGAGTCTTTTGCTGATTGCCTTTCATTTGATTAAATAACAAATTTCCATTTACCATTCATTATGTTTTCTTGAGATCTACATAATTTTGTTTGTTAAGTTCTATAATTTTTGTTATTCCTTTCTTTTGCCAACTGTAGAATAAGCCTAAATAGCACCTATATTTGATTTGATTGCTTATACTTTTATGCTTACACACAGATTGTAGGAGTGCTGGAGAATCAAAAACTGCTATCTTCTTCCACAGCTTTATATTCGCACTTTTGTCTTGTGCTTTATGAAATTAGTGTTGTTATTTTCTCTTCACATGACATCTTCTTCCTGTTTCACAGCACATTTGGACAAAGAGGGTGGAGGGCATTCCATCCCATCTACTCCCAACAGCCCTTCAGCCCATGGGGAAGGAAAACCTAACTTTGGAAAGTTCCTGAACATTCCTGGTAAACCCCTGTGATAATTGGGTTTGCCTGCAATATCTGAAATAGTTGAACTTTGTGATTAGTTGTTGTCAGGTTTTGTCTGCATGCTACGAGCTTCTGCAGATTCTCCCAGTTCTAGATAGTGAAGTAGATGTGTGACAGATAGTCATGTATATTCAACATTCAAGTCTTCTGTGGCACCTCTGCCTTTTAGTCTCATATGTTGTCATTCATGCTGGTCATAGTAGAGCTAAGACTCTGTGACATCTAGCCCTGCTCTCTGGCTTTCTTATTCTTTTAAAACAAATCTTTGTATGTGTTGTTATAGTCACAGGTAGCTATATAATGTTTTTAAACCAAACTCCTAGAGGAAGGCCATAGTTCTCCTGGAAATTATTCAAAACAAGCGATAACTCACAGTATTAGCAACTGATCGTAGTCTTTTAAAATTAATATTCTGATTATTTTGCTTTGTTTCATTTACATTTACAAAGAATTTACATGTGTAACAGAATTAACATACTGGTGCTTTTATTAAATATAAGAAAAAAACATTGATTGATAATTATAATTTTGTAAACAGAAAAAATGTTGCATAAATAAAAAATACAAGAATATTTTTTCATTTCACAGCTTACAATATATCCAATTATATCAACAAGAGCATTGAGTTTTTTTGTTTTTTTTTACAAAATACAATACAATTTAATAACTAAAGCTATTGTTGATCTTTGTTATTAAGCACAAAGCTACAAAATGGGCTGTGCTCTACCACCATGGGTATCAAAACCCGGTTTCTAGCAGTATAAGTCCGCAGACATACTGCTGTGCAATAAAAACTTAATGGAAAAGATATATGTAAAAATATCTCATTACACAGGTTTAAAGAAAGAGAAACTACATTACAAAAATAAAAAAAACATGTTAAAAAGTGTCTCATCAGTTGTGACTTATACCAAGAGTTTTCAAAATTATATACATAAATATTGTTTAATTTATATGTTTTTTATATGTGTGAGTCACATCTCAGGACCCAAGGTAGGAAATTTCAAAGTATACTTTTATACAAGTTAATGAAAAAACAAATTTTAGACTTACAACACGGCTTTAAACATCCATAATTGCCCGTTTTAATATAAATTATTAATGTTTAAAGAGGATTTTTAGTTTCTTTTCTGTAGATAAGTATTTTTACATTGACAAAAATACTTCTCCCTCTGACAATAAACACTTACTACTAGTGCTTTCTAACCCTCAAGCTTATTTAAACATCTGGTAGGTGTGATAATTTTTGTTAAAACAGCATGTTGTAGTGAATGATTTGACTTAATTGCTTTGATATTAACAAGTCAAAACTTTCAAACACTTATTTTTACTGTTTCATCTCCCTCTGGTATTTTTTATGTTTATTAACATCTCTGGTATATTTTTAATAGTGTTTCAATAGATTTTCAGTGTTTATATACTTATATATATATATATAT